TGGCCGGGCACGGAGCGCGGCCGCGGGGCGTCCCGGCGCGCAGCGGGCGGAAAGGGGGCAGCGGGGGAGCCTTCCTGCAGCCCCCAGTGCCGTGGGCGCGTGTGAACCTCGCGCAGCTTTCCTCAGGGTTTCCCTCAGGGCTCTCCTCCGTCCAGCTGCGGATAACGCTGGGCACGCGCTGCTCCGCTTGTCCAGGCTGCTCCGCTTGTCCAGGCTGCTCCGCTTGTCCAGGCTGCTCCGCTTGTCCAGGCTGCCCCGAGTCCTGCCCCGGCATCGCTCGTCAGGGAGCTTCTGGGGCAGTAAATAAGAAACAAATGAGCGTTTGAGTCTCTCACAATACTGCCGCTTCCTTTTCCATTCCGCCTGCCAACTGGAGATCCAGCAATATATCATCTCAAATATAACAATGTTTCTTGCCTGAAGTGTTTGGTTTGGGTTTCTTTTTTTTTCCCCCCTTCTCTACTTAAGATGGTCTCCAAGCTATTTATATTAAGAGTAATCAGCTTAAATTAGTTTGACTCAAAAAGTCTGAGGGTAGAGACTGCAGCTCCTCTTGGAAAAAGAAAAAAATATCTATTTGTATAAAATGCTTTTGGGGCAGAGAATGAAGAAGTGTCAAGGAGTGGTTGTGTGGAGACACCCGGTGCTTCCAGGCTGGAGCAGGATCTGCCGCAGCGTTTTGCCTGCCGTGCACCCTGTGGCTCCGTGCAGGGTTCTTGGAGGCAGCTTTCCCGCATCCCGAGCGCGGCAGAGACGGAGGCCACGTGCGAGAAAGGTCTCAAGAACTTCCCTGCACGTCGCCCGCGCGGCCGCCGCGGGACGGGGGACAGGGAGCCCTGCGCCCCGGCTCAGCGTCGCCCCGGGACAGCGCCGCAGCCCTGTGGTTCCAACGCGCAATAAGCGAGGCCTTGTGCTCTGCCTCATACCACTCTCCACGTTTTTAAGATGGGCTTAAAAGCTGCCATAAGCACTTTTTACCTTTATTGGAGCGTTTCGAATTTCTGCGTTGTCAGAGGAGGGCTAAGACACGCAAAAAGTCGCTTCGAGTATCTGGCCGTAAAGATGCTCTGATGGATTTGATAAAAGCTCGGAGGAGTGGGTCAAGTCAGTTAAATTATGCAGTGTTTAGAAGACTTATTTGGTTAGCTGCCAAAATGCCTGCAGGCAGTAGGAGTGAAATGAATAGTAGCAGAGCACTTGTTGAACCTTTCTTAACGAGAAAATAAAATTTTCAGAATATTTAATGGAGTCGAAGTGGTAATTTTCTTGCAGGTTTTGCTGTGCATGGTTGGTTCTGGTTGGTAACATCTAGATTAGCTCCAGCGTTTACAGCTAAGGTGTGTTAAGTGCATTTTGTACCCTTGCTCTATGAAATGGGAGGAACCCATGCTTTTAAAAAGACTTCTGTACAATTTAATTGATACTTGTGCTGAAGATTTTTTTCTTTCTTTCAATTCTTGCCACATTCTATGCATTTCCTTCTGGCAGAAAGTACAAAAATAAATATCAAAAAAAGTATTTTCTTACTAACTTTAAAGTCTACAGTGTTTGCTAGTATGTGTTAAGCAACATAGTTTAGATTTTCAGAAGTGGCTCCAGAAATTACCCATTAAAATTTCCATGGGAACTGGATGCCTAATCCACATGGATATATTTGAAAATAAATACTTGAGTTTAGGCTGTTTTCTTAACAAGAACGCTAATTCAGGCTAAGATAATTCTTTTCTATGGCAAAATGGTTGCAGTGTGGATGATCAGGAAGTTCTTTAAGAACTTGCAAGATTTTCTTCTCTGCTCTGTTACAAGAGACGTTGCACAATAAACTGCAGGGAATTATATTTAGACCCGAAGCACTGAAAAGGAGTCGCACAGAACATAGTGGTCAGGGCTATCCCTTGTAAAGCAGGGACCATATACGTTCCTAAAGATACCTTTTAGCTTTTCAGTTAGCCATGTTCCAAGCACTTATTGGCTGAGACGGTAAGGAAACAAATGAGGTGAAAAAAAAAATGCTTTCAGGTTGCCTAATACAGCCCTGTTTGCTCTTCTCCTTTTGCAATGTAAAAGGGAGTGCTAATTGAAAAAAAAAATCAGCTTTCTGTTACTCTGAGAAGAGGCTGTGCAGCCAGTGTTTCACCTCCTGGCACTGCATAGCCCTCTTGTATTCTGTGCAGCTGTAGTTTAGGTGCTGCTGTGCAAGGTTGAGTGGTTAGCACTTTCTGGTTTCCAGCACAGCACTTAAAATTGCAATTGGATTTGACTTTTTAAGTAGATGAAAATGAGTAGCAGTTGAAATAATAATGTTTAGAAAACTTTCACTTTTCTATATGTCTTTAAGCTACTGTTGGCTAAATTTGAAGTACTGTTTTTTTTAATCATACTTTTTCTTTTTACTTTATAGTCAGGCAAGTTTGATTCAAGTGCTCAGGCCTGTAGCCTCTTGTTTTTAGTGTAATTTAAGCATACACCCTGGTACTCTGCTGCTGCTGGGGCTGCTTAGGTGGTCTGGGTGTGCCTGATTCAGTTGCTGATTGTTTTTCTGCCGTTATACTATAAACACATTAAAAGCCGTCTGGAAGGTAGGGGAGCGGGGAAGCCCCTCTGCTTAAGAAAAAAAAAATGCACCTGTCAAGCAAGAGCATTTCTGACTTTGTGGTTCTCAGTGCAGGTTATGAAAAGACAGCACCTCCAATAGGCCTGGGGAGCATAAGTTTGGGGCTAGAGGTTGCTATCTGCCTTCATTCTCTTTGTGGAGATGGGGACGCTGAGAACCCCAGCAATGACTGCCAAGAATGTCAGTGCCAATTGCACTGGGTTGTGGTCGACCTCGTGGAGGGCAGTTGTGGCCCTGTGTCTTGGGGAGCAGCGTGTAGGATGGTGCTCCTGGGTTAGAGGTAGCACTCACACGGATACCTTGAGGGATTGTCCTCTGATTCTGAGAGCCTTGGATAGCCATAATCCTCAGGGAATGAAGCAGGGAGTAGTGTGCCTCATACTGCTGCAATTCAAATTCGGTTCAAGTAGTTAGGTATGTGTATTATAAAAATGCAAGCATTAGCTGGCATTTTTTTTTTTGTGGTCCATTCCTGAGCTGTGCCTGGGTTGCAGAAAGCTTAAATCCCACATGTAAGCCTAGGTTCACAAGTACGAGGACAATTTTCTACCCATTTTCTTTTCTCTTTCTAGGAAGAGCATGTATGAAGAGTTGCATGACAGAGTCTTTAAGGTACGTGGGCATTCTGTGTCAAGCACATTAGAAGAATCAGCTATAAGAATCAGCTAAACTCAATTATGGACACCCAGAATTACCCGAAAAATCGGACAAGGAACTAATTGGAAGAATATTGCCAGACATAGAAGAAGTGGAACACGTTCTTCTGCAACAATCATTGACTCAGATGACTAAAACATCAGCAGTAAAATGACAGATCCTGGTGCTTTTTGATTCTCTGGTGGATCTTATTTCTTGGACATTGCTATTGACATTTCTCTTATTCTGTTTAATACATCTTGAATCTGTACATAAAAATATAACTGGACAGTTGCGTTTTGGTACTGTTTAACACCTTTGAATGTTAAATCATTTGCCAAGATGAGTGCTGAAGGATATCAGTACAGAGCTTTATATGACTACAAGAAAGAGCGAGAAGAAGACATTGACTTGCACTTAGGAGATATATTAACTGTGAATAAAGGTACCTTACTAGCACTTGGATTCAGTGAAGGAGAAGAAGCAAAGCCTGAGGAAATTGGTTGGTTAAACGGCTTTAATGAAACCACAGGGGAGAGGGGGGATTTTCCGGGAACTTATGTAGAGTACATTGGAAGAAAGAAAATATCTCCCCCAACTCCAAAGCCTCGTCCTCCTCGACCTCTCCCTGTAGCGCCGAGTCCTGCAAAAGTTGAAGCAGAGAGTGAGCAACAAGGTCAGTGCTGTTCTCCGAAGGCGGGTGTGGGGGGGTGTGTGTCTTCCACCTTTTATCAGATATTTCCGTTCCATAGACTTGCATCTCCACACGTTTATATCCTTAACACATGCCTGTCAGCCTTCTTAGTGCACACCTCATTGCCATCAATTAAGAATTAGTTGAACTTCACGATGAAACTTAGATTACGTATTTTGTGATTTTGTGTGTCAGTTACTGGTCTCTGCGGTGCCTTATCACGATGAAGATCTTGCAGGTTGAAAAGGTCTGCTCATAACTGTAAAGACCCGAATGGAGAATGAGCAGCCTAGCAGTTATTTTAGGTTTTCAAGAAGCTGATGGAAGTGTTTCCCTCTGTGGTTCGTCAGACTCGCTATTGAGAAATGGAGAAATGTCTTGGTGAATCCAAACAAACAGTATGCTCCTAGAATAAATATCTTGCTAACAGGGAAAATCACGTAGTTTGTCATACAGGTTTATATGTGGCATTAAAAGGAAAGAGTAGATGGTTAGAAATAAGCAATGGAACGTTCATTTAAAAAGAAAAAAAAGCAGATTTAATTTTATGTTTTGTTTGGTTTGGGGCAGAGCATGTGGTAGAAAAAAATAGTACTTAAGTAAACAAAGGGAGATATTTCCTTTGTTTAAACATAAATCACTTTCTATCCTACATAGTACAGTATCCAGGGCAGAATTTGGACAGAATTTGATCAAGGCTCTGCTGCTAATAGAAGGAAGTCTTAACTGAAAGAGCTGTAGATTTAAAAAAAACAAATGTGAAGTGATTTCTGTCTTCTCTGTGTACTGGTATTCAGATATTGGGGTTTTACATTAAATTATTTTAAAGCTGGATCCATCTTAGGATAGATTTTATACTGGTCTTTTACTTCTTGAAAGTCCATAATGATTTATATTACCTTAATATCTAATATTTCCTAAATGCTTAAGAGCAGTGCTTGTGGAAACTGAGTTGTGGTGTGTGATCCTGATTCTCACAGTGATTTTGCAGTCATGAACAGTATCATCACCCTCTGCCTCCATAGAAGTGTTTGCAGCTTAATTCAGAAAGTTGTGATATCTGTTCATCAGCTTCCATCCCACCTAGCCTGTTACGAGTTTGTGCTTAATTGTGCTGATACTCATCAAAAATAAAGGAAATGCAGAAAAGAATTGTGCATGACAGCTAAGTGTAAGCCTGGAAGAAGTATTTCCAGGTCAGGCGAGGTGTAGTAAAGGGTAGACTTGAACTGTTTCCCACTGTGATTTCCTTTAGCACTGAAGAATTGTTTTTATCTGTACAGTGTCTTGGAGTACATCACAGATTGAGAGAAGGGGTCTGATGCAGGTATACTGGCATTTTAGGTTGTACTGCCCCTACTTCTTAAGCACTTAAAACCCTAGCCTTCAGTCATCTAAACTGTCATTGCATTTCTTCTAAAAATGGTATTTTTGCTTATGAAAGAAAATCGTTTTGCCCCTTTGATAACTCCTTGATATTAATATATGTTGATCAGGTAAAATTTTCCTTTTTTCTTGAAGTCTGCCTTTTGAGATGAACGTGTCTGTCTCCATCATACTTAAACTACAGAATAAGCACTGGTATTTGGATAGACCCCTCAGCAGTGGCAGGTCACTTTGAGGGGCAGCAGTTGGAATGACAATCTGATTTTTCACAAGTGCCTGCCCCAGGGAAGTACAGGTCAGCTTAGGCTCTGAAGCATCAGTGTAACATGGCTGGGCCCTCCAGCCCTGCTTCCTTGATGCTCTTCTTCCCAGCTCCACGCTGTGAGCTGGCTGCAGCTTGGCATGGAGCAGTCCTGCTGCTGATCTCATGGTTTTTGAGCCCGCCAAGGGCTTGGGTTCACAGCAGGCATTTGCAGAGCCACAGCTGTTGGGAGCTGTGCTGTGAAATCCTGCAGTGGTTTAGGGGGAGCTCTACTAAAATATTGTTGTATTTTTTTTTTTTTTTTTCTATTTTTCTTCTACTACTTTGGCATGAGGCAGTGCCCTATCCATTAATGACTAATCTCTCCTAACCTGAAGTTTGTTGCCTCTAGACACAGGACTACTTATGTGATACACTTACCTAATGTAGCTTGGAACTGTAGAGCTGGGAAGCAAGAAAGTGCTAATTTAACTGGGAATCTGACAATCTCAAATGAAACACACAATATTGCGCACACAATATTGCTATGGGCCAAAATATTTAGGAATCATCTTGCAATCAAACCAGTATTTTTGTAATTAAAAAGAATATTCTTTGAGTTCATTGCAGCTCATTTTAACTTAGTGTTTAAATTTGATGTAAGAGGCTAGAGAGCTTCAGTAATGGTCTAGGACCATGGATGAGATCTACCCTAGCAGGATTAGGAGAAACAATGAACTTTGAACTCTATGTGATGAAAGGGATAGGATTAATTATGTTTAAAAATGTGTATGTTTATTTAAGATAAATTGGGGGAAATTAAAGATAAGAGGATATTTTCTGACTTTTAAAATATTATACATATCTCTTTACTATTAAAAAAAGACTAGAGATATACTTTGTTTAGGAACAAACTACGGGAAAAGCTGCACTGAAAAAAGATGTGAAACAAAATAAAGGTACATTTGTTTAAGCAAGCAGGGATGAAAATGATACAGTGAAATCAGGGTTGTTAGGAGGAAATACAATTCAGATAAAGATAAGAGAAAAGTAGCAGTTTATATCTGACTTTAAGGTCGGGCTTTGCAATTTCTATTTATGTGTATAAAATTTGGTGCAGAGAATAGCACAGTTAATATTGTCCAGCAGCCAACATTAAGTTGGCAGTGGGCCAAAAGATTCTTCCTAGGATGATCCTTCTCTCTACATCCCTAGAGTGTATTTTAAATAAATTAATGCGTAGTATGAAACTTGCTTGACCAAATACAGTCAAGTTTACATTGTCAGTGCTTGATGATTTGAAACTGCTGTATATCAAAATGACAAATTAATGGGGAACTGGAAACAGGGACTTTTTGAATATAACTCAGTTCATCTGTAAACCATGTTCTACTTAAATTCTATGAAGAGTCAGTTCTTTGTATAACTATATGAATGCCTTGAGTAGGAATATCAGAAAACTAATTGGAGATTTAAAAAAAAAAAAAAAAAAAAAGGTTTCTTCCCCTAGCCTTGCTAGATGTGATTACTTGCTAGTCAATTTTCAGACCTGGATCAAATTTGCAATGTTTGGGCCACAGTGCTGCTGGTATTCAATGCTGCAGGTACCTCTGTTCAATGCTGCAATTACCTGTATGTATTACAGTCAATGGGGCTAGTAATATGGACAGGGCTACTCCTATGGGCAGTGTCTAATGCCATCACAATCCTATTTATAAATAAATAGGGAGCTCTTTAAATTGGAAAACAAATAAAACTACTGTTAATCTTCTATTAAAAACATTTTATTGCATCAGTGAAGTAATTTTCCCCCCAGGCTTTTATCAATGATCTGTGTAAATTTCTGGAGTGAGTATGGGAATTTCAGTACTGTTGCATTTTTGCCTGCCTTCTTCTTACTCTTGTCAATGTAGAGTACGTTTACACTATTCTTTTAGTGTTTTTTAACTGCATCTGTAAAGAAAAGAAAATGAAGGGGATGAGAGCCCTGTGAAACTTCTGGCACCTTTTGGCCAAGGAAAGGTGAATGGAGACCCTTCCAACAGTGAAGGGTCTTCATGTGTACCAGGAAATGTCTGAGGTTTGTGTGAAGCAGTAAATTATGGAGGAGAAAAAAAAAAAAAAAGCAAATCTCTTGTCTTGAAAGACTTTGTTTTCTAAGTTGCTGCAACCTGGTCCCTGCCCCTCCATCTTTTTTTTTTTTTTTTTTTTTTTTTTTATTAAGTGAAAAAGCTGCTCTAGGTCGAGCCAAGTTTTCTTTGATTCAGCTCTCTTCCAACATGACTGTGTCTAGAACTGGCTCATGCAGCATCTCTTCTCCACCTGGTTCCTGAAAGCTGATCTTAAGCAGAGGTTAGTGCCTAAAGTTTTTAATGATTGATAGATTTTCTGATGCAACATGGAGTGCTAAATTCCCACTTTATAATGAAGATCCAGTTGCACAGGGCAGACTGGGATTTTATATGAATGTTTTTTCTGTTTTAATGTTTTGGAGTTTTCTGTAGCTTCCTGTGTGACTTTAAATGGTTGCATATGTTAACATTTCATATCCTTTGAGCTGTTCAAAAACCCAAAGTCATTGGAAGATGTTTTTTTTCTGCATGGCAAAAATATAGCGTAGATTAATGAAGCTAATGAGACAGAGCGTTTGGAAACCCTTTCTTTCCAGAGATCAGGTTATGCAACATTGGACAAAGATCCAAACTGACAAAAAGCAGAAAATTGTTTGTGCGTGCTTGAACCGAACATACTGTAGGATTTGTTTCTTTCTCTACTTTCTTTTTATACAATTTATTTAATCTTGCAGTACAATGATTGTGCTTCAGAAAACTATTTACATTTGTAAAGTGGGGGCCATAACAGTGAATGGAGCAGAGAGCGCCTGGAGCCTCGCTTGGGAAGAAAACAGTCACCATCTGTCCTGATATAGACGAATGGAAAAAGGAAATAACGGGGTGAAGGGATGAGTCACCATCTCATCTGGTAGATGTACTTGCCCTTCCAGCCGGAGCCCTGGGATTAGTTCCGAGCAGCCTGGTGCGGGCACAAGCCGGAGCGGCCGGCCTGCGCGCCCCGGAGTCGTCGCTTCGGCAGTAATTGTTTTTTGCTCCCGGTGAGAAATGTGACAGGTCTGTGCCAGAGAGCCCGGCCGGCGCTGCCGGCGAGCGGCTCCTCGCTGCCGGATTAGCACGTGTGTCCGAAGGGAGAGGCCTCGGAACGGGGCAGCTTGGTGCTGCGTGTGCCGAGGCGACGCCGGGCGCTCGTCCTGCCGCTCTGGGACTGCGGCGATGGGCACCCCAAAAACCTGGGGAGATGCGCCCGGGGATGCTCGCAAGCACCCAGCAAGCGCAGCTCG